TGAGTGGTATTGCCGTGGTATAATGACATCGGCAGGCGCAGGACCCCGAGCAAATCTGGAAACTACAGCACCAGAAAACTACAATCGGCATTGCATTCTCTCAGAATTAACTGAAGAACCATCAAAGTCTGAGGAATCACGCCGAAGCTGCATTCTTTCTGCTCCACAGGTAATATTTACTGTAATGTTTTTGTTAAACTAGCAACAGTCATTGCGATATGGTGTAAAACTACCTTATACTGACCCCTACAGCCAGGAAATGACACACTGCCACTTTAAAGTTACATTAATTATTTCTTCAAAGTTAAACGCAATGTAAAGGTGTTACGTCCCCGACAGGTGTTGTAAAAATGTGAAGGATGGGGGTAACATAAGAACTGGCGGAGGAGTTTAAAATGGGTTTATTTGTAACAAAAAGGTATTAAAACACAAGCAAACAGATCTCTCTAAAAAGGTTAACATTACACAGCCAAATTATCAACTATAAAACACCTGGTTAAAACTTATATTAAAAGTTTAATCGAGCAGAAGGTGTTTTAAAATCCCAAAGTTGATAAAAAGTCCCAAACAATTTACTGATTAAAACAACTGGTAAAAGCTTATTTTAAAAGCTTTACCACACGAAGGTGTTTAAAAACCAGTCAGTAAAATTGCACCAAATACAGTTAGCCTTTAAAAAACATATCACCGAGAGTTAAAAACGACCACAGTTTTAAACGACAACGAATCCAAACGAATGCAACCAAAAAGGGGTTAAAACTAAGGTGAGTGATCCAAACTTAAGTCCCAACAGGAAATGTGTCGTAATGCTGAACCCCAAAAAATTACCACTGTCATAAAGATGGCAGTCCAATGCTGCTCAGATCAAAGATAGGTCAAGATGTAGAGGAAGGCAATAAGCAACTATTACGAAGAAGAAGAATCTCAACCTCATTGTCACTAGCAGCTAGCTCACGGATCTAGACCAGGGGTGTTTCTCCATGTCAAGGTGCCTGGCCTCAAAAGGCGATGTCTTGTGAAGCCAGGCGCCTTGCTTACGAGGGCACTGTCCTTCCTTGATCAAAGGAAATGGTTAATTGGAACAGACTTGCATCACGTGACCACGGCTTCTGCAGCAGTAACGTAACGTCACATGACACGGGAGATAATGTTATATTTTATATGTATACATTTCAATATAAATATAGAATGAGCTTTTAATTTTTAAATTGAGTAAATATTTGTTAAATTAAATATATAAGCAAGTTACAACCCGCTAGTCATCAAAGCTGCAACTACTAAGCAACTAACCAACCAACTAACCAAATAACTGCTTTGGATCTAAAAAACACATTTCAGATATCAGTCCGATAGCTACAGTTAGTTGACTTACATTTAAACTTGAAATTTGCCCCCGAAGTAGCTGCTGGCTTCTGATCCGCCATCCTTTTGAAAATACTGCGGTGTATTCTGGTAAATTTTTGACCAAGGCTAGGCTACAAGGCCCCCCCATGGATCCTTGCTCAGCTAGCTAAATGGCTAACAAATGGATAACACACATCTCGGTAGAACATGAACATTGGAACACGCCTTGGTGGTTCCTGATGACGTATTGCCTAGGCAGCTGGGGCAGGGCGGGGCCAAGACATCAAGACGAGGTTCCTTGGCATTGAGAAACACCCTAGCTTAGTGGCCTAGTGGTAGAGTGTCTACCCTGGGAGTGGGAGATCAAGGCTCAAATCCCTTTCCGGGCATACAAAAGACTTTGAAAGACAGGATCCAGTGCATCCTCGCTTGACACTCAGCTTTAAGGGGTTGGACTGCATGAAAACTAGTGGGTAACTTTAACTAATCCGTAACATTTCTACAGAACCCCACTTTAAATGACCCGATTATCCCTTTAATACCATGTTTTTATTTAAAATTGTATGCTGACTTTTGCTTTGACATTTATATATTCTCAACACTTCCTGCTTGTTTTGTGTGTGTTTGTTCTTAAAGCTCGTTAGTAAATACCAGCAGTTTAAGAAGAGTCCTGAAGCAAAAATCCTTACTTACCATTAAAACTTTCGTACAAAAAGTCAACTGAAGAGAAAGATTACTAAAAACACCCTTTGATATTGGTAGTGTCTGCTAACCTGAGCCTTTATGAAGTATAGTAGAAATGTGTTTGGGAGAAGCGTAGGCCCTCTGGAAAGCCGTCTGAGCTCTGCCTGCTTTAGACAAAGCTTTATTCAATGGGCTTACGACATAAACGAAGAGCTGAGAAAGTCTTCCATCCTGACAGGAGCAGATGACGACATCGGTGTGAAATAATGCTGGACTTTCATTAGGCCCACTTTGTAGGTTTTTACACTGATGGATCTTCATCTTGAGAGCTGTTTGACCTGGATTTGATTGGGCTCTCTCTAAAATAAGCACTCAGCCATTCAGCTTGAAGCAGACTTTTCTGCTAGAGGAAAAAAGGGTCTCGTCTGCACTCGATCCCTCCAACATGATGCACAGGAAGTGACTGAAACTGAACATGCTGAGGAGCTGGAACATGGTACATACTAATGAAATGTGAGTCTGCTCTCAGCATGGGACAAGACTGGGTGGGTGGGGAGTTTGATTCACCAAGCCTTTACTGCCGCTACTATTAGCATTAGCATGGTTCACACAGGCTGCTCCCCTCCTCCACCACCACCAGCCCCACCATGTCTCCATCCTCCCTGCTTGGCTGTGTCCTCTCTTTCCTGGTCTTGCTGCAGTGTTGCTATAGCAACGGAGAAATGTGGGAATACCTCCGTCCTTCAGAGCGCTAGAAAAAAATAGGGTGAGAGAGACAGAGGGGGAGAGAGAGCAACGGGGAGGATGGGGGACAAACAGAGTTAAGGAGAAAACTGGAGGGATGGGAGTGTGGAAACAGGTGTAAATTTGAGTCTCATCACTCTGACTCCTCGTCTCCGCCGGAAAATACCCCCGCCGCATTGATATTCAACCTCGGTGATGAAGACAACGCCACAGTTGTCAGGGTGGAGGGTCGCCTGTGTGGGTGTGGAGGGGTGGGTGGGTTCGGCTGAGATGCCACCTTGTCGCACAGCCGTGGTGTCGCCTCACGCCGAGCCTTACGCACATCATTTGTTTGACGATCCACGCATTCTGGATGTCTCCATTTTTAGTGAGGCTGCAGTTTCCATGACAACGCCCAGGCTAAAATAGCACCCCCCTTTCCCCCTCTCCTCTCGTCTCTGCTCCCATCCACATCCTCCCTCTGCACTCATAACTGTTCATTTATGATCTTGGGCCACATTCTTTCAGGCTGAGATGTCCCATACTGCTCATCTCCATTCATCATGTGGATTGAGGCACACGTAAGCCCCCATCTTTTCACACACACACACACACACACACACACACACACACACACACACACACACACACACACACACACACACACACACACACACACACACACACACACACACACACGCACGCACACACACACACACTCATCACATCTCCACCCACGTCTTATCTCCAGTTTTCAGTCTCCCCGTCGCCCTGCAACAGATTCTGTCAACATGCACCAACCTCTGTGTTGCCAAGGCAACGCTGCTGAAATCACTACAACTATTTGAACCATGACAAAAAACAAACACGAAAAAAGAAGAAAGGCAGACAGACAGCCACTTGAGGGGGAAGAGGAGTTAAAATAAAAACTGATGAGTGTGTGTTGTTGTGTGTGTGTGTGTGTGTGTGTGTGTGTGTGTGTGTGTGTGTGTGTGTGTGTGTGTGTTTGTGTGCGTGCGTGTGCGTGTGTGTTTGTGTGTGTGTGTGTGTGAAACAAGAAAAACATGCAGGGTTGTGTTCATAATGTGTGACCCTTCAGTGAACCTGTGTAAATATTAATGGTATCATTTTTGTTAAAAAAATGCACATATTGTGACATGAGTGAGAATGTCCGGGTTCACATGGGGAAACCGTCTTGCTCTTGGCTCAGACGCACTCTGTTTGTGTGTGTGTGTGTGTGTGTGTGTGTGTGTGTGTGTGTGTGTGTGTGTGTGTGTGTGTGTGTGTGTGTGTGTGTGTGTGTGTGTGTGTGTGTGTGTGTGTAGTCATGAATATGTTACTCACCTGATGAGTGCAGGTGGACTCACTGACCCATTGTTACAGGTTTACGGCCTACCAAGGCCAGCCAGCAGCACCCATGCGGGTGTGTGTGTGTGTGTGTGTGTGTGAGAGAGAGAGAGATAGAGAGAGAGAGAGAGAGAGAGAGAGAGAGAGAGAGTGAGAGAGAGAGAGAGAGAGAGAGAGAGAGAGAGAGAGAGAGAGAGAGAGAGAGATGATGGAACAGATGGATGCTGACAGTGAAACTGGATCTCCAGGTTGTTTTAAAAATATTGTTTTAATCATCCATCCGTTTTTATACCTGTGTGTCCACGCAGGGTCTGGTGCCCATCTCTGGCAGTCTCCGGGCAAACAGGCGGGGCACACCCTGGGCAGATTGCCAGTCAAGTTTTGTTTTTGTGTTAGTTAAAACAATTTTCTTTTGCATTTCAAACCAAAAACCAAGCAGTTAATTTAAGATTGGTTTGAAATCAACCTAAACGTGTGTGGCCATCTGTGTTTCACAAGCAGGCTAAATAATCACTGTGTTGGGCTTGTGCTGCTGCAGCTACATGTGAAACAAAACATAAGCATGTCAGTATTTCATATTTTTGATTTTTGTAAAGACAGGTGAAAGTCTCTGCCGTAGTTTATCTCATTGTGCACTTATCAGAGTGTGTGTTACTCAAGTCCTAAAACATTTTATACCTGAGGGAGTCGTGTCACTCTTGTTGTTTCTGAAGTTTGATGAAGAGTCTATCACAGATTGTGGTCAGAGATACAACAGCATTAATGTACTAAATCCCTTCCATAGAGTTTTTAATAAAATCACCAGAAAATGCACTGTTGCCATGGTGGCATGGTGGAGATCATGATAGCAGAAGCAGCACAAATTCAGAAGCATTCATCACATGTATGTATCTGCTTAAAATTGAGCATTTACAGAGAAAAATGAAATGTACTGATGGGTTAAATCTAGGGATGTCCCGATCCCGAGATCGGATCGGGACGATTTTTTGTTTCTTTCGGTGGTCGGAGATCGGCAATTATGACTGACGAGTCTTACAGATCTCCCAAAATACATTTTGAGCGTGTTAGCATGGACTACTTCTGGGGGAAAAACTCCTGTAGAGGGCTCCTTTTCTTATGTGATAGTCTCCCTGTTTACGTTTGGGTTTTCCAAAAGAAGTCAGTCAAATGGAGGATGAATCAAGTGACAGTTTACATTTCTCAAGATGTCTGGGACACTTACCGAAATATGCCGCTCTCTGATCAGCTGAGTTAAAATCCTTCCAGGGAAACCTCAGAGTCTGATATGAACTTGTTCTTCCATGTCTGCGTAAACAAACATCAGGCTGTCAGTAGTCTCACAGCAGCCGGGTCAGCGCTGAGAGCTCGTCCTTTTTATTGAGGAGAGAGCGGACATTTTCCATAATCACGAAGGGTAAGTTTTATGTCTCTGTTCCCTCTCCAGAGCTTAATTCTGGAGGAAGAACCGAGTTTCCGTGGCGAGAGAGTTGGCGTAAGCAACACCCACAGCTGATCCACAAATTTAACACTGTTAGTCGATAAATAACTTTGAACTCATTTTGTGTGTCTTCCAAAACAGCAAAGGTTTCTCTTCCATGGCTTAGCTCTTCCAGATGCTCTAAAAACTAAAAATGAGGACTTCAAGGTACTTTGCTTTGAAACTATTTTTTTGTCTTTCTGAATTATTTTCTTTCTTTTCAGTGTGGTAAGTTGACCTCTCTGGTGTGTTTCAAAACAATGGCTTTCCTGAGACTACGCGGGGAATGATACTTTTTGGCATTCAAGTGTTTGCCAAGGCGAGTCAAGAAGCATCTGTCTCAGATAACTCAACTCTAACCCCTGTGCATTATCTCAGAAGCACCACTTCTTTGTTGTTGGTTTAATGTGACATTCATGTGTGACACATTTATTGTATATTTTTTGCAGTTTTCAAGAGGCAGTGCCTACTTCCTCTGTCCTCCATCTTTGCCATCAGTGTTGTGGGTTTGTTGTGAACATAAACATAAAATGAATACAAATACCTTTTTAAAACCAGTGACTTGACTTGACTTGCCACCATTCCTAGAACCTTTTAAAATCGCACGTCAGAGGTTGACATTTTTATCATCATAGCATTTATTTTGGTTACTTACGAAGAAGTTACCAGATGATGGTTTCGAATGAACTCAACATGTAGTCGTTGAAAAAGAAGAAGGGAATTTATTAAAAGCCTTTTTATAGTGCAACACAAAATGATGCAATAAGATCTAATAAAGATCTGGGGCAAAATATAAGGGGATGGGTGATTACTGAAGAAGGAGCAGCTGGGTTGATGAGCAGAAGGAACAGGACATGATGGAGGGACTATGTCTCAGCTGGCCAGGGAGGAGGAGGTGGCCCAAGGTGGCTGGAGAGATGGAAGTCTGGGCCTCTCTGCCTAGGCTGCTTCCCCACGACGACCCCGAATAATGGATGGATGGTTGTGTCTGCTGTGGTGGCCCTCTTAAATTGGGTTGACTCCAGTCGTTAACGAGCATCCAGTGATTGCTTTTTAAGAATTCATCCAATACTCAGACAGGCCAATCATGTGGATTCTGGGAATTACTCGATAGATTCTGTGTTACAGTTGTTAAATCTGAAGTCAGTCTAGTGTGGTTTTAAATCTTCACTCTCAGTAATGCCACTAAATCCCATAAAGCTGCTTTGATACTAACATGTACCTACACATATGCTAAGTAAGGGAAAACACTGCTAGCTGTGTATTTGTGAGGCCAAACCCATAGCCGATGACATGGCAGGTTTTAATGACTGTTTGTGGCCCCAAGGCCAGTGTTTAGGTGTGTGTGTGTGTGTGTGTGTGTGTGTGTGTGTGTGTGTGTGTGTGTGTGTGTGTGTGTGTGTGTGTGTGTGTGTGTTTACACGTCAGAACACAATCTGTGGAAACCAGGTGGGCACATCAGCATCTTAGCCACATTTTTGTCATTATGGCAAAAGCACGGAGGGCCCCTGATAACATGTGACCGTGCCTTTTGGGTGCAGTCATCCATATTTTGTGTGTCTGGTTGGTTGTCGGGTCACGCACTCAGCAGGGAGTTGATGATGATGTTCATGGACAGAAGAAAGTGACGAGGTCAGGTAAGGTGAATGATAAAGCAGCTAAATGTTTGTCCAACTGTTTGTTTAGATTTAAACAATTAGATGAAGAAGCACCTTTGGTTCTTGTGTTGACTTTTTTCGGATACATCGGTGCAAATAACTGTGATTTATTTTTGTTGGTAATTTTGGTCTCACATTAGCAGATAAAACTGATAAAATAAAAAGAGGCTAGTGTGTCAAGAAGATGCAGAAGTTTCATCCAAGTCTGGGCTGGCTTTTCCTCCTCTGCTGCATCTGCTCAACTGAATCCCGACAGCTGAAGTTTGTCGTTGCTGTAAGTGCATCATTTTATTTTTTTGTCGTGTTGTATCTCAGTTCCCTACTCAGCTGTTTTTGTAAACCAGTAATAAATCAACCACCGGATGTTTGCATGGATTTACTGACAGCATTTTTTTGTCGCCCGCTGTGATTTTACCATAATCTGGCAGCTTCTTTTGATTCGTATTGTTACTGATTACACAGCCCTTTTCTGCCCAGTGAGTATTATTTTATTTACTCTTTTATCACAAAGGATTACCCTGAGCCTAACCCGCAACAGTGTCGAGCATATCTCTCCCAGACACTGCAGCTTTCTTTACAAACCGCTTTATGTAACACTCCACTTCACTGTTGAATTACATAAAAAGAGTCTCCACACAAAATACCCGATGTGTTCACATTTTAGAATATTAGCTAGATATTATAGATCTTATATTTAAAACCCTTTCTAAAGTGATGGAAAAAGACTTTTTCTAGAAACACAAAAATAGAAATATGCAAATATCTTCAGACTCCTTTTGCATTTAGTTTTTCCTGTTTTAATCTTGTGAGAACTCATTTTCTAATGAAACACAAAGCAGCTGTTAAGTGACAGACAAAATGGTTCTGAAAGCTTGTGTCAGTCATCTCCCGGCACCAGTGCTAACAAGCAACACGACTTGCAATTTATATTTAATCAGACGAGGCTGTAAAAATTCCCTCTGAAAATATTTGACTCTGAAAGCAGAAGAAATGTTTTAAACCTGTGGCTGCATAATGTGTTCAGATTTCTTTTCGGAAAGCTGTTGGAAGCTTAAACATATTTATGCAACAACAGGGTTTATCGTTTTCGTCGTCGTCTTCCTCCGCTTATCCGGGTCCGGGTCGCGGGGGCAGCATCCCAACTAGGGAGCTCCAGACCGTCCTCTCCTCGGCCTTGTCCACCAGCTCCTCCGGCAGGACCCCAAGGCGTTCCCGGACCAGATTGGAGATGTAACCTCTCCAACGTGTCCTGGGTCGACCCGGGGGCCTTCTGCCGGCAGGACATGCCCGAAACACCTCCCCAGGGAGGTGTCCAGGAGGCATACTGACCAACTGGCTCCTTTCGATCAGGAGGAGCAGCGGTTCTACTCCGAGTCCCTCCCGAATGTCCGAGCTCCTCACCCTATCTCTAAGGCTGAGCCCGGCCACCCTACGGAGGAAACTCATTTCGGCCGCTTGTGTCCGCGATCTCGTTCTTTCGGTCATTACCCAAAGCTCATGACCATAGGTGAGGATTGGGACGTAGATCGACCGGTAAATCGAGAGCCTGGCTTTCTGGTTCAGCTCCCTCTTCCCCACGACAGATCGACTCAGCGTCCGCATCACTGCAGACGCCGAACCAATCCGCCTGTCGATCTCCCGATCCCTCCTACCCTCACTCGTGAACAAGACCCCGAGATACTTAAACTCCTCCACTTGAGGTAGGACCTCTCCCCCGACCCGGAGTTGGCAAGCCACCCTTTTCCGGTCGAGATCCATGGTCTCAGATTTGGAGGTGCTGATACTCATCCCAGCCGCTTCACACTCGGCCGCGAACCTACCCAAGAGCTGAAGGTCAGAGCTGGATGGAGCTAGGAGGAGGAAATATTAAAAACACTAACTGTTCTTCAGAAGTGATGAGCTCAGTGCTGGTCTGACCAAACCCAAGACCAAGGTGTCTTAAATCAACTCCAATCTCGTAGCTTTTACAGCCTTTTATGCAACACTTTTTCCTATTTTTTTAATAGATCTTAACACCACCATCAGTTCAACATCAGAGAGTTATTTTGGCTGTAAGTCCTGCCAGACATGATCCTCGGGTATATGGGAAAAGCTCAAATTAGCTGATTGTGAGCCTATTTTTTATTTATTTTAATATTTCTGAAAGAACTGCTATGAAATGTTGGAGCTGTTTTAACATGGCAGCAAGACACTCATGAAGGACGTAAACTCCATTTCTCTGAACAGAGGCTGCTCAGAAAGCTACAGCAGGCAATGCGTTTCACACAATTTCCTAAAAATATATTTCAAAATATAAAAACAAAATTAAATCATTTACATGAACAGGTGGAATGAAAGGTATGTTTAAAAGCTGAAGGATGTGTTCACTGATGACGGTCATGTCGATGAAAACAGGTAAAATCCATAAAAGGTCAAACTGTTTCGTCGTCAGACACCAACTGCAAACAGGAACACACACATGATGCATTGTAAGAAGAATGTGACATCCCTGTTGGCCCAGTAAAAGCAAACCTGTGTAAAATAGTTTTGCAAGGAGATGACAGAAGGAAGGTGGTGACACAGAATACCACTCAGCAAAAGTCAGCGTAGAAGTACGGGGGAGAATAGATGAAAATCTCTAAATAAGCATCATGTGGCAGATTGTTGGGCGTGTGGATCACTTACATGTTTCACCAAAAAGTACAGCCTGTCATCTGCGCAAAAACAGTAACAACAGAAAACTGAGCATGTTCTAAAAACATTGAATTACCTTTAAGCGTGTTTTTGACTTGTGGTTTTCAGACAGGTGAGACGATGGTGGCATCAGCCGGAGTGAATCAGACGTCTTGATAATCCAGTTAAACTTACCTCTGGGTTATATCGCTGCTCAGAGCGTGAGTCTCCCACATGTTAATAACTCTAATGGAGTGGTTCCACTGTTCATGTCATCAAAATGACTCTTGTGAGCCACAAATCCACACTGATCCGTTGACTATTACTGGTTTCTATTTATGACTTGTGTCAACGCTGGATTTCTCCCTGATGTGCAAAACGCTGGAGAGGCACAATGTCTGAACTCATGCGATATTATCTGTTCTGACTTTTAAGGTGTTCCGACATGGAGATCGATCGCCTATCGAGTCTTACCCCAGGGATCCACATGGCGAGGAGGTGTGGGCTCAGGGCTTTGGACAGCTGACTGAGGTACATGCTGTTTCTAGTTTTGTTAAAAGGGATACTTTTCAACTTTTTTATATTCTTAAATGATTTTCTTGAGCCAGTATGTGCTAAAACAACCCTTTACAGGGTTCATAAAAGGCCACCCAGCCTCTATCGCCCCCTGTGGCCAGAATGTTCTTCTTGCAACTTCAGACTGCCGGTCCAGTCGTTGGGACTTTGAATTGGCCTGCTAGCGCTGCAGTCTGGTCCCAGCTCGTTTCCTGCATGTTTTAGCTCATGAACACAGCTGATTTGTTTCATTTAGTGATGAATCACTCCTGTAGACACTAAGGAAGGCTGGAGAGATGTTTCAGATGTTAGATTAAAGTGTTAAAAAGAGGAACGCACAGTGAGGAGTTTGAAACCAGAGCAGCTAAAGGTAAAAAGCTTTTAGGGATTAAGGTGAGTAAAAATCTTTCCATTCGCTCATTTATCTGGATAAATTCAGCCTGAACAACATGTGAAATTTTAAACCATAAAAACATGATGTTAAATAAAGTTTTCATTGAATGATCAAGACAGTAACAATAAAACACCTCCTCCACAATGTGTTACATTTGGCAAACATTTCTCAAGTTTGCCCAAAAAGATGAGTTTTCTCCCTTCACGGTGGTCCTCCTCTCTGCCAGACTGAACAGATTTAGTTGTAAACTTCTTCTTCTAAATATTTTTCCTGAGCAGATAAACACGTTGCAAAATTTACAGACAACAGCAAACTGATTGAAGCAAACATGATGTAACAGAGTTTAGGAAAACACAACAACAGATTTTTGTGCTGGCGACTGGCTGATCACTGAAGAAAAACATTATATTGAATATCAGCACAGGCTGATCGGTGGCTGCTATTTTCAATGCATCTCTACTCCTGAACACGATGCAAGGCTCACATTCTAAAACGGGGTTTGATGCTAATTAAACAAAGAATAAAAGTCTGATAAGATTATTTTCAGCTTCAAACTATTTGTTTATTTTTCAAAATTTACAACCATCTTGAGGCACAATGTTTTATCTCACTAATTAAACTTAAAAGGCTAAACTAACATTGAAGACAGACTAATGACATGCAAATCTAGACATTTAAAAAGTAACTGTAGCTATGAGGGCGTGTATGCCCTGATATGCCACAAATTTTCTGTTGTACCAAACTATGTTGTTTGAAACACAAAATATTGTTTATTTATAAATCTATAATATTTAGTACATTTTTGGACATACGTAGTACGCCATGTTTTTCGCACGCAATGCACTCTGAGGGCGATGTATATTGGTTGCTCTTGGAAGAATAGTTATTGACGTGTTTGTTTACGCGGTCACCGTATTAATAATGAATTAAAATGCCACATTGTGCTGCTTTTGGATGTAATTTCCAGTCAGAGGGCAACAAGGGGAGTGATGTGAGGTTACAGACCTTTCCTACTGGCAAGAAGAGGAGAAAGCAGTGGGAAGACGCCTGTGGACGGACACAACTTCCCAAATATCTGCGGCTGTGTTCCCAACATTTTTCTCCTGATGCGTTTGAGGCTAATAGTCGACCACGACTACTTAAAGAGCTCACCAGAGCGGCTGGGTAAAAGAGAAGGCGGAAACTAAATGCTTTACCGACCATTTTCCCACATAAGGAGCCTAAACGCCCTCGGAGAGACGAGAGACACTGGACGCTCTCCTGAGCCGACAACCCGCTCCTGCCGCTTCTGTCACGTTCAGCGAACCATCGGACACGCCACTCATCACGAATGAAGCTGAACATTCACCTCTTCCGTCAGTAAAACAAGCAATAAGTGTAGCAACACAGTGTTCTCCAGATATATAATATCTGCTAAATGATTAAAGTCTTTTCACTGAATATCCTAATCATCTATAAAACACACAACAGCGCTGGATGCTAAAATTCTCCTAAACCATTCATAATTGAATAAGTTTGATCACACGATAGCTTACCGTTAACTTCTGCTGACAAAGCTGTGAGTTCTTGACAACAAACACTCTCCCTCTCGGTTACCACGGAGACGCATTTGCCGCACACGCACCACCGTTTTTGTCCTGCTCTCGCTTCATCCCGCCCTTCTTGCTCTTCATTTTGATGCTCGTTTTGTGAAACATGGTCAGTGATGTCCTCATTAATGTGTCGCTCTGGTTCAAATTGAAAAGGCTGAACAGATGACATGTTGATGTTGCTGAACAGTCACTACAGGGTCCCAAAGCCGCCGGTGCAACCAAGGTACAACCATCTGACGTCACTACCCAGAGTGCATTGCGACACTAACAACAATGGCGACCTACGAGTGAAACTACTTTTTACTAATTTTATAAAAATGAAGACATTAAGAAGGTTTTTTATACCACTTTAATATAACTGATAGTAACATTTATCTTTTAAGAACCACAACGTTTTTTAACCTGGGTTCCTTTTAAGCCTGTATTTGTTATAACAGTGATTATTCTGATTTATGGATTATGAAAACCCCACATTCATAATCTCACACTCAAAGTGACACACTCTAATCAGCCATAATGAATCCAGAACACCTGTAAAGGGTTCCTGAGCCTTTAAATGGTCTCTCAGTCTAAGCTGGATTGCTGACATAAATTGACTTTTTTATATTCTAATTTGTCCACTTTCACCTGTAATGAGATTTCCCATCTAATCATCGTTCTAACAACCTTTGTGGTTTTGTTGTAGTACTGTTTGGCAATATCAACCTAAATACAGACAGACAGTGTCTCTTCATTCTTCTGCTGTTCAAAAGTGAAGTTGTAAAATACCGTCTACGGATCTGTTACCATGCTGTCCTGCATGCGCCATGACGTTTTAAAGCATCAGATAAGAACAGCATGGAGCAGTTAAAGAACTATGTGAATCAATGAAAGTCAACATTAAAAAATGATCCAAGGTGTATTTTTTAATTGTGAAAATGTTTATTTACATGGCTGAGTGAGGATTAAACCTAGTACTGCAGACAACCACTAGGGGGCAATATTTTATATTCATGTACAGTGGACATAAAATGAAAGTAAAATACTTATTTTGAAGTTAACAGTTGAAGATTAACACATATGTGTTTATTTTTCTGTAAAAACAAAAGTTTTCTCTGTGAAAATGAAACAGTTTGATGAATCTTTCAGCTGGGTATGAAACAGCACTTTGAGCTGGGGCGATTTCTACGGAGACGCTATGCAAACTTCCTCAGTGAAGATTATGACAACAGAGAGGTGGGTGAATCTGTTGTGAGTGTCTGTGTTTGTATGCACCGCCTCCCCCCTCATGTGTTTTATCTGGATTTCCTGTACAACCAAACCTAATTGTGTGCCATCTGTAAGCGCCTTGAATACGGTAAGTTAACGAGCGTGACACATTGTGGTGATATCACTGCCGTGGCTGTGCTACATGCTGAAACGAGGGGGAACGGGGCCCCTGGGCGCTACAGTTTTGTACAGTTGGCAGCTTGTGTGTTCAGCGCGCCCCTGGGCTGCAGGCTCAGCAAACTGTCATCATGAGGATATGATTTATGCTTCTTTTCTTCTCCTCAGTGTTTTCTCTCTACACTCACTGCCTTTATTGTGTTCTTTCTGTCCTACCGTCTCCTACCCCCTCGCCTCTTCAAATCCCAGCTCCTCTCGCTCCGAAACAACATGTAATTACCGTGGAAATAACAACTCCGCTCAGCACTTGTCATTGGTAATTTGTAGCCAAGTCTCTGTCAACTTGTACCGTACCTTTCCCTCAGCGCTTGTGTCTGTTTTGATTTCACACACACAAAAAAGGGGGAAAGGGAAGTTTTCCTGGGGAACATCAAAGCTTGTAAGTGAATTTTACTGCTTGTAAAAACCTGACAAAGGGTGACAGAGTGATATAGATGAGCAAAGGCTGAAGTCGGAAGAGATTATAGCGAGGAAAATATTTTCCCCTCCTTTTATTCATTTGAACCTTTTCCTCCTTATGTTGGTGAATCAGCTGATCAAGCATAATTTGTTTATTCATACTCACGTATTTAAGTGTTTTTATCAAGCATCATTTTTTAGCATCCATTTACTTAAACTATTTAAAGAGTTTGTCACCCCTAGACTAACTCATTTTTCTGATGGTAAATGGCCTGTATTTGACACAGCGCCTTCTAGTCCTCAAAACCCCCAAGGTGCTTAATAACACAATCAGTCATTCACCCATTCACACATTGGTGGGGATGAGCTACGATGTAATCACAGCTGCACTGGGGCGTACTGGCAGGGGTGAGGCTGCTGAGCACCAGTCCCTCTGACCACCAGCAGGCAAGGTGGGTTAAGCGTCTTGCCCAAGGACACAACGACAGCAGCAAACTGCGGGCTCGAGCCTGCAACCTTCTGATTACGGGGCGAGCACTTAACTCCTGTGCCACTGTCGCCCCGTGATAAACTGTATAGGTGAGTGTCTGATAGTGCTGTAGACATATGTAGTCGTTATTTTTGGCATTTTAGAACTTCAAACCAAACCTGTCATTATTGCTCCCTCTTCAGGTTAAAACTCTGCTCTGCATTGATTTGTCATTAGCCATGGCTAAAGGCTAAAATGTGCCAAGTGGCGTTGTCACGTGCCCGTCCCATTTACCGGTTCCTTTAAAACCTAGTTCCGTTAGAACTTATGAGACGGTGCATCCATCAGGGTTCGATGGGGATGTCGGTGAGTATTATAGTATTAGATCCTGGTTTGGGCGTCCTAAGTTAGAATCATATCTTTTATTTTAAAGGTGAAATAATATGTAAGACCTTTCCTTCTGTAGTAGCTCACTTCTTTTTAAGCAATCCCGTTATCTTAAGGTTTCTTTATATTAATCTGTCACAAACCGTAAAGTAAGTCCTGATAATTCCAGAACCCATAATTAATGTGCTTACCTCTGTGCAATTAATGATCAGAGCCCCCACTCGTGAAGCTTTAGAGAAAACCTGAAAGAATCAGGATTGTGTTTCTTTTTCAAAAAAAAAAAGTTTATTACAAAATCAAAATACAAAAATGGGTAAAGTGAAAAACAACTGCTATCCCCCACGGAGGAATTAGTTCAAAATGATTAAATAAGAGTTAGTTTACACCAGCTCTTGTCTTCTCAGAATCTCCCCAAAACTCTCCCTCTCTCTCTTTCTCTCCTAAGAGTCTCTTCTGTCATCCCCCATCCAGGCTTGGACGGGGGATGACCCCTCCAAATCTGCTCTGTCTCTTCTTGTCCTCTGCCCCAGCTGCTGTCCGCTCTCCCAATCCCTCTCTGCTGTTCAGAGCTGTTCTTATATACCCTTCCTGGACCAGCTTAAGGTCAAGGGGTCATTTACCAGATACACACTTTGTAGCTCAACACAAAACATTTGGTGTCATTTTCACTACATGCAGCATTCTTCTTAACACAGGTCATTACATCATCTTTTGCAGCATTCTTCAGTTTCTCTCCAATGTTCCCGAGAGGACTTCTGGATCTGATGGGCTTGTCTTCACTCTGTTCTCCTCCAATCCCATCTTTCCAAGCCAGGGGTGGGGCAAAGAGGTGGGGTCAGTCTCCTGACCCTTCGCCCAGTTCTGTCCTCTTGTCCCTGTGACCCTTGTGTGACCCTTGTTTCTGACCACAGTTTTTTTGACCTGCAGCCCAGCTCCTGTCGACTGGCTGATTTTGCTCGCACAAGCCAGTCCAGTGTGGCTCACCTTTTGACCCCGTACTTGCCACTGTCTTTGGCATGTGGGACTCGCAACATCCCCCATGCGAGAAAAGTCTAGCCAGGGGACTGCAACAGCCTTCTTTGGGGTGGGGCTGCCTCCTCCTCTGGATCATCTTCATCTCCAGTCTCAGACCCAGAGTCTGACTAGCTCAGAGTCCAGATACACACCATCATCATCATCATCATCATCATCACTCACTTCAGTCTCTGAAGAACCAGATGTTTGTTCATGAGGGTTCAGAACTGGGTTCCTGCTTCTCCACCAGTTTCTACTGCCATCTGGTCAGCTGAGCTGCTGGTTGGAACATCTCAGTCTCCACCTTCAAGCAGAGACTCTCTCCCTCCAGACTGAAGACATCTTTTACTGCAGAGCTTCAAATATTCTCCTCACACACCTGAACAGCAACAAGCTAACTCTGCTTGCAGCTGCAGGTGGGAAGCTTACGCTAAAAACTATAAAGTGTGGCAAGGTGGATTAATGAGGGCCCAGGCAGGATTTGATCCCGAGATCCCTGGGGTGGGAGTCATACGCTCTAACCACTCAGCCAAAGGGACATCCCCTTAGCCAACTGGCCAGGGCGCATGATCAATCAAGACATTGTGACAGAACGCTCACACTGTCACACCTTCCCCCCTCTTTCCACCAGCGCGTCCTCGTACTCCCGCGCAGGGTGCCACAAACTTCACATCCACGGACCTACTTGACAGTACTACATGGATCCTGCCAACAACACCAAATGTGGCAAGGTTAAAAATGCTTACGCCTTATTAGTGTAGCTGTCTGTCAGGTCAGAATCATACGGAGCTGTTAGTTCAGGACTCTCCCTTCTCAACAGAACTAGTAGGGGGAGGGGTGATGTCACCACATCCTGCTTGTCTGTTGTTGCTCAGCTGACTGAATGCTTTTTCTCTGTTCAGCTGTGGCTTCTCATATCTGCAGGCTGCCGAGAGCGGAAGCTAGGTGCTTGTTTCAAGCAGATCCTCTAAAAACAAAGTTTAATTGGAGCAGAGTTCCAATGCTCCCAGTTATAAGTCCGTCCTTTACAGGCGGCACGGTTTCTCCCCTCACGGAGCCCTTAAGCACAGAGGTTCACACATTATACATGTTCCCGGCTTCTAGCCTCCATTGCGCGTGACGATGCCCGACATGAGATTCTATGAAGCTAGGAAACATGATTACTTTACAGTTCGTGACAAATACCTCCCCGTGTTACCAGAAACGAGGCCCAAGTCACACAGATTCTTACATATCAGTCCTTCACTAGATTTTGATCCAGCCATGACGTTTAATCGCATCTCACTTGTGCCTCAGCACCCGGACAGCGCCCCGCCGCAGCTCCATACTAGCTTTTCCAGCCTCATTCTGAAAGCTCCGGTTACAGGATATTGAAAGATCTATCTGCCATGGCTGGTTAAAAGTTTTTCTTATTCTTTATTTATTTTTATTTTTTGCCTAGCTTTTATCCTTGGCTTTTCTTGCGTCGGAATGCCGTATTTTCTTTATACCTTTTTAAGTTGATCGTCCGTTCTCCCAGATTTCTTTCTTTTTCGAGAAACTGGTGCGGTTTTCACTCCAAGGTTATAAGCTTAATAGGTCCTTAGCGCGCAAGCTTTTATCAGCCTAAAAGACAGTTCTACGTCGGATAGCCCGGTATCTAATATTTAGACCTTCACTCCGTAGCCCCACGTTGGGTGCCATGTCGCAAACGTGGCATTTGTCGTGCCCCACGTTGGGAAGCCATGTCGCGTGCCCGTCCCATTTACCGGTTCCTTTAAAACCTAGTTCCGTTAGAACTTATGAGACGGTGCATCCATCAGGGTTCGATGGGGATGTCGGTGAGTATTATAGTATTAGATCCTGGTTTGGGCGTCCTAAGTTAGAATCATATCTTTTATTTTAAAGGTGAAATAATATGTAAGACCTTTCCTTCTGTAGTAGCTCACTTCTTTTTAAGCAATCCCGTTATCTTAAGGTTTCTTTATATTAATCTGTCACAAACCGTAAAGTAAGTCCTGATAATTCCAGAACCCATAATTAATGTGCTTACCTCTGTGCAATTAATGATCAGAGCCCCCACTCGTGAAGCTTTAGAGAAAACCTGAAAGAATCAGGATTGTGTTTCTTTTTCAAAAAAAAAAAGTTTATTACAAAATCAAAATACAAAAATGGGTAAAGTGAAAAACAACTGCTATCCCCCACGGAGGAATTAGTTCAAAATGATTAAATAAGAGTTAGTTTACACCAGCTCTTGTCTTCTCAGAATCTCCCCAAAACTCTCTCTCTCTCTCTTTCTCTCCTAAGAGTCTCTTCTGTCATCCCCCATCCAGGCTTGGACGGGGGATGACCCCTCCAAATCTGCTCTGTCTCTTCTTGTCCTCTGCCCCAGCTGCTGTCCGCTCTCCCAATCCCTCTCTGCTGTTCAGAGCTGTTCTTATATACCCTTCCTGGACCAGCTTAAGGTCAAGGGGTCATTTACCAGATACACACTTTGTAGCTCAACACAAAACATTTGGTGTCATTTTCACTACATGCAGCATTCTTCTTAACACAGGTCATTACATCATCTTTTGCAGCATTCTTCAGTTTCTCTCCAATGTTCCCGAGAGGACTTCTGGATCTGATGGGCTTGTCTTCACTCTGTTCTCCTCCAATCCCATCTTTCCAAGCCAGGGGTGGGGCAAAGAGGTGGGGTCAGTCTCCTGACCCTTCGCCCAGTTCTGTCCTCTTGTCCCTGTGACCCTTGTGTGACCCTTGTTTCTGACCACAGTTTTTTTGACCTGCAGCCCAGCTCCTGTCGACTGGCTGATTTTGCTCGCACAAGCCAGTCCAGTGTGGCTCACCTTTTGACCCCGTACTTGCCACTGTCTTTGGCATGTGGGACTCGCAACAGCGTTACCGGTAACCTATTACCTCATTCACTGCCAGCTGTTTCCTGATCAGTAAATCCCTTCGCTGCCAGCGTTTTTCAGTGTTTTCACAGTTTTTTATAGAGTCACAGAACGTTGCGCTCAATGATGATGTCAGTTGCAAAACTACCAAACAGTAGACTCACCTCTTACATCGGGAAAAAGCTGCGCGTTTCGAGCTTTATCCGTTCTTTCATAATCCGTTGTCGAATTGTGATTGGCAGAAGCTTTTCCGGTTCGCGCGTCACTTTTTTTTTTACAGCAGCGGCCCAAAACGATCTCCTAACACATGGATTTTCTGCTTCCTCATCACGTGATGTGTGACAACATGGATGAAGATTGGCTTTAGAGCTGAGATGTTTGTTCTTACGGTGTGGGGGCTCGTTCTGATGAGCAAAATCATCAATGGCAGTGAACGGTTGGATTTAAAATGACAGCTTTTGTCGTCACTTCATTTAATGAGTTAAGTGGCTGCACTGTACTGTCAGCCACACCTCCAAAAACGTCCTGTTTCCTTCTTCTTGTGGCCAAGGTGGGGAGAAACCCCTGTAGCCTGCTGCAGCTTCTCTATTTGCTCGTCTGACTGAGCAGTGTGAAGTTGGCATTTTTAACACGAGAGTCAATGGGAGCTTGCTCCTTTCTGGAGCCAGCCCCTAGTGGATGAGGGAGGAACTGCACTTTTTGTCACTTCCACGTTGGCTTCACTTTGGCAGCCAGAGGTTCCTCCTTTGAGGAAAACATGTTCACCTGAGTGTGACGAGGTCACATGACTTCACACATCTCATTCCCACAGATGTAACACTTCTTACAAGCGTTCAAACATCTCTCATTAAACTTACATCTAAATCTCTCCTGAGTATGGAGAGCCAACGTTATATTAACTGAGCTCAGAATATGTTTTCTAAACTGGAGGCGAAGGGTCTTTTTACCTGTTTATTCTACATAAAACACCTTAGAGACACCGACCTTTGCATGTGTGATGTAGAGGCTTCTTCCATGTTCAGGGCGGTTTTCTATACATCTTTGGGCTACAGGATAAAAATGAAGCATACATACAATTAAAGCAGCAGCTTTATCAGCACTCTTTGTCTGAAACGTACACCTGAATCTTTCTTTTCTCATAAAACCAAACCTGTGATGCTCATTTAATGCCTCCTTGGCTCCATGTTTACAACAGGTATACGCCAGGAGCACTGACTACGACCGCACTCTGATGAGCGCCCAAGCCTGCCTTGCTGGGATGTTCCCCCCTGCCAGACGCCCGCCTCCCATCATGCCCCAGTTACTGTGGCGTCCCATTCCAGTGCACACCGTCCCCAGGGCCCAGGACAAGGTGGGCTGCTGCAGCAAATGAATATTTCCTTTTCATCCAGCAGATGTACACAGCTGTATGCATACATTCACTCAGCTCTCCTGCTTCACGCTGCTCTCAGTTCAGCTGTGAACCAAGTGTTCTGTAAACTCTGTTGTTTTAAAATGTGAAACAAGGGTGCCACTGTGCCCATCTGACTCGCCGCAGTTCCTTTAAACATGCATTTGTTCCACTGATTTTTTTACTTGTCTTTGTTTATTTTTGAACATTTCAGCTGCTGAGATCTCCAGGAAAAGAGTGTCCGAGGTTCCGAGCTCTGATGACAGAAACCTTCGAGAGCGCACCTTACCAGAGGTTCCTCAGGGCTCATCAGGTAGGATGGAGCTCGGAAGGACAACCAGGAGCTGTGACTCACCTGTGGAAACGTGTTCCTCACACGTCAGATTGTTTTACTCGAGCCATGTGCCTGTTAACCAGTGAGGACTTGTCTGTAACTTAATGGTTTGATGATATTGATCGAAACTGCTGCAAACATTTATTTCCCTGAATTCATCCGTTCCTCCTCTTTCCAAGTGACTTTTTTTTTTGTAAATGAGCTAGCACAGTAAAAGTGCACATTTCAGTGAAACATCTATACTTCGCAGTTGTTGGTGCCAACGTAATCAGCACTTCCAGTGGACGTGTTAGTTATGCACCATGTCCTCTCACTGATTTTTCTCAGGCACGGTGACTCCAGTGCCTACAAAAAGCTGCACGGTGCAATTTCTCTCACTTTCTCAGAGACACTAATTAACAGTTGGATTAAATTAGATGAAGAATTACAATAAAACAGTTTTAATTAAGCTGGGTCCCATGTGCTGCATGCTGAGGAGGTGTTTGAGAGCAGGCCGTGGCCTTTTGTGTTCAAACTTAACACTCTGCTGTACCTGGAAAGTATGCAAGAACCAAGTTGAGCTGCAAACAATCACAGAAACTTTTAGCCCAATAGGCAAAGCAGTGCATCTGTGCAAGTAAGAATGATAATTATCTACTAATAGATCAGTGCACATGCAAAAAAGTACAGAAAGGTTTAATATTATCCATAACAATTATGATTCAAATATAATTTTTTCTATGAGAATCATAACTCAAAGAGCTCAGTCCTATTATGACTGAACATATAATTGTTTACAGGACATATAATTATTAGATTTTCATTTGAAGTGGTCACAATTCTCTTTTCTATCTTGCAGAAGTTTGTGGAGGCTCTTTCCAACCACACAGGCTACCCTGTTTCTAGACTGGTTGGTAAAAAAATCTGGAGGGTGTATGACACGCTCACCTGTCAGGTACATCTCACAATAAACACAAAGACCTTTATACATGTGCAACCTGAGCTTTGTTGTTTAAAATGACTTTCAGCTTTAACACACCTGGTTTTAATTGATGGCTGATTAACAGGGTAGTCAGGTGCGTTTGAGCATGAAAAAACATGTAAAACAAGGGTTGCCGACTCCAGTTAAGGGTTATCATCAGAATCAGAAGCTTTATTGCCAGCGCTCCAGCGACCCAGAGCATAGGAACTTGACTCCGCAGCACAGCCTGACCAAGGTTACACACACACATGTAGACAAAACAGATACAGGCAGACCACGAGAGCAGCCATAAGGGCTTTCCCCTGCTCCGACACACCAGATTTCATTTAATAAGTCCTCTGCAGAGCTCAGCATGGTGAGAAGGTGATTTAAGGTTTTGATCCAGAAATGATGGAGACGGAAAACTACAAAAATGCACAGGATGACTGTAGCCCTTGGGAACTGGAGTTGGTGTCACTGATGTGAAACACACATGATGGTGCTAAAGGACCAGGATTGGGAACAGTTTTAAACCTCCCCTGATTTTCTTTAATATAATTTACTTTCAGGTAGCCAGACTTTCTTCCAATCTTTTAAACTGGATTTGATCAGTAGTTATGGCTGTTGACCCATAGCAGGAAGGTCATGGGTTAGAAACCCGGTTGTGGCCTCTCTGCTTAGAGTAGCGGTGGGCAATCCTGGTCCTCGAGGCCGCTATCCTACATGTGTTAGTGTTTTCTGTGGGAAAACATACCTGATTTCAATCAGCAGGTGATTCACTGGTTTCTGCAGAGCTTGAGCTGCTAAACAGGTGAATCAACGGCGTTGGAACAGGGAAACAACAAAAATATGCAGGAAACCAGCCCTCAAGGACTGGAGTTGTCCACCTCTGGTTAGAGTTTGCTTGTACTACCCATATATGGGTCTCCAGGTACCTCGACTTCCTTCCAAAGGGCAACAAAAATGCAGGTGTTTAGATTAATTGGCAAATTTGAATGATCCCTTGATGCTTTTTAAAGTATGACCCTGTCACACCCTGCCTCTGCCTGCTTGAGACGTGTCGGCTTCCCAGAATCCTGAAGAATAAGTGTTAATGGACTGTTAATGCGCCATGTCAGTGAAATATAAAACAGTGATAAACAGCCTAAATTAAAGTAAAAATGTCAAGAATATTGTAAAAATGCTGATAAAACCAGCTGAAACATCAAGAATAACAGTTAACATCCTATTTCCCCAAAAATGTAAATAATTTAGAAAACTGTTGAAGAGTTATTTTTAGAAAGAAGTCAAAACAAGACTTTTGCAAGAAAGGTCCAACACCGTCTGTGTGTGTGTGTGTGTGTGTGTGTGTGTGTGTGTGTGTGTGTGTGTGTGTGTGTGTGTGTGAGTGTGTGTGTGTGTGTGTGTGTGTGTGTGTGTGTGTGTGTGTGTGTGTGTGTGTGTGTGTGTGTGTGTGCATGTGGACTATAAAATATAAGGAGTCTTTATAAAGATAGATAGTCCATATTTATGTATATATATATATACATACATACATACATACATACATACATACATACATACATACATACATTTTTTGTATAATTAGCCCAGGGGTCACCAACATGGTTCCTGGAGGCACCATGGAGCCTCCAGGAACCATGTGACATGTGAGGTGTCCACAGGCAATTCTCTAAATAGCACAACAACTCTAAGATAAATTTAAAAAAAAACATTTGGTAACAATTTACAATAAGGATCCCTTTATTAATGTTACTTGGTGCATTATAAAGCATTAATAAACTATTAAACAATGTATTAACAACTGCTTAACCATAGTTTATAATGTATTCAGACACCCCTTTGTCTCTTCATCCTAACCTTGAGGACTCCTAATAGTTAATAATGGTAACTTTAATGAAGGGACCCTTGTTGTAAAGTGTTACCAAATGTTTAATCACAAATGCATTATTATAAACTTAAAAACTACAGTTTTCCTTAGAAAACAATAAAATATGTTTATTGTGAAAGAAGTCTGGTTTAACTCTGATCTATTCTAATTCAAAGGTTAGTATTGTATCAACCTGGTAGCCCTATGAAGTAGCTCTCAGCTTCACAGAGGTTGGTGACCCCTGATTTAGCCAGTGTGAGTCCATGTGAGGTGCAGAGTAAACAACCTGAAATGCTGCTTGGAAATGACCAAATTCAAAGATCCTTAGAGACACAAAATAGTTTGCAGAAAATAACCAATACATAAAAAAGAGATTTGATTCAGATGGCTAAATAAATTACTGCCGACACGAGAGTTGAACCTGTGTCAGCTCACGGTAAAGCAAGATGAAGGGCAGATAACTGAAACATTAGACCACCATACCTAATACAACAGCAGCCTGACCTAAGACGTTCTTGTAGATGCGTTTATACAGTACAGGCCAAAAGTTTGGACACACCTTCTCATTCAATGTGTTTTCTTTATGTTCATGACCATTGGTAGATCCTCACTGAAGGCATCAAAACTGTGAATGAACACATGTGGAGTTATGTACTTAACCAAAAAAGGTTAAATAACTGAAAACATGTTTTATATTCTATTTTCTTCTAAATAATCACCATTTGCTACGATTACTGCTTTGTACACTCTTGGCATTCTCTTGATGAGCTTCAAGAGGAAGTCACCTAAAATGGTTTTACAACAGTCTTGAAGGAGTTCCCAGAGGTGTTTAGCACTTTTTGGCCCCTTTGTAAACAGTCATAGTCATGAAAATAAAGAAAACACATTGAATGAGAAGGTGTGTCCAAACTTTTGGCCTGTCCTGTAGGTGGGTGTGGGCGGAGCTTCACTGAAACAGATCATTTCATTTCTGGTTATAAATTCAGGCTGATAAAAATAACTCATATTCAAGATAAAATGGCTTCTCAATAGTGCCGGCGGTAATATTTTATCATATACCATGCCTACCTTAGCTCTCAAAAATTTAAAATAGCATGATATGGCTCCTTCGGGTCCTTCTGTTGATCATCTACATGTTGAGGTTTTAGCTAAAATTTCTTTTGGAACCACCATGTTGGTGCTAAACTACTGTTTTATGTTGTAAAGTGTGTCGTCTTTTAGCATTTTTCACAGCTTCAGTTAAAGAAATGGTACTAAATGGTCTTTGTTGTGACGGGCTGTTGTTAATATTTATCTTTTAAATCTGGTTCTTTGCACTGGTCCATCTCTTGGCTTTAGCTGCTGTTCTAAGCCTGAATGGCTCATAAATCAAAGTTAAGTGGCTTAAAAAATCAGCCAATGTCCAAAGAACAACTGCTGTCAAGGAAAATCTAAAGAAATGAAGAATCATTGAACATTTTTCAACAGCTTTTTAGGCTGAAGAATTCAAAGAAATCATTGTTTCCCAGTTGAAAGCAACAGAGAAGTGGAAAACAGAGGATTCTGCTTGACTTTAACAACTTTCTAGAGAAATAATAACTTTTTTTTTGTTTGTTTTGCTTGCTTGACACGAACTGAAGAGCACATGGAGAAAGTAATTATAACACAGGTAGATTGTGGGCACTTGCTAAATGAGCGTCTGTTATCTTCATACCTGATCTAAAAATAGACGAGACAACAGAAACAACATGAGGCAGAAGTTCATGTGTTGTGTAATGTGATTATTAACAGGCTAATGATTGCTCTTTTGCCCCTCTTGTGCAGAGGATCCATAACTTGACTCTCCCACGCTGGGCCACCCTGGACGTCCTGGACACCCTGAGGAGAATTGCATCATTTGAGGTCACATACAGCATCCTCGGTCACAAGAGGAAAGAGAAGGCCAGGCTCTCCGGAGGTGGGGACTCACATCAGAGACGACTTGATTACAGCACAGTTAGCAGAAACACTTTATTGGAGAACAAATTGTGACTGCTTGCTAAGGCTCTGTTTATCCCCCAGTCGCTGCAAAGCGCAGGCTTTCCCAGAAGAATCATAGCACATACGAGCTAATGGGACAAAGATGACAATGCCAAGAAAAAAGCTGCTCAGGAAGGTCAAAAGGATTCTGTTGGTGCAGTAATTAATTTGCACTGTTGCTAATTCTGCTAGGGGTCTTGCTAAACAACATACTGAGGAATTTCACTGATGCTATGGAGCAAAGTCGCCCTCTGAAGATCATCATGTACTCCGCTGTGAGTTTGTCGTTCAGCAGCATCGTCTCAGCTCATATTCATGAAGCTGTGGTCCATCTTACTTACTGCTGTTTCACATCTCTTCACCTCCTCATGGCTCCAACGCTTGCTCCTCGGTCTAGCATGACTCCACGCTCATCACCCTGCAGGCAGCTCTGGACGTGTACAACGGCCTCCTTCCTCCCTACGCCGCCTGTCAGCTTTTTGAATTCTACCAGGAGTATGATGGGTAATGACTTCCATCCAGTTTTTGTTTCATGCACTTTTTTCTTTGCATATCCAAGTCAGATATCTAGGTCACACACACACACACACACACACACACACACACACACACACACACACACACACACACACACACACACACAGATGTTGCATTCCACTTTTTAGTTGAATAAACTATTCAAACATATTTTTCACCCTTTTCAGTCCGAAGGAATCCGGGCATCTGTCCAGCTCTGCATCGGCCAAATTAGCACAGGATACAAACCCGTTTACATAACACTTCCCACAACTGTGTGTCATCTCTTTGTATCCCTGCAAATAATTACCCAGATCCTATTCAGTGGAGCTGCATTATCGCAACGAGTCCTGGCGCGACCCCCACCCCAACCCCGTGCCAGGATGCGTCGGGCTAAACCCCTGCCCTTTGTCCATGCTCAACGAGCTACTGAGGGACGTGATGCCGCAGGACTGGGAGGTTGACTGTGGCTTCAGGACCAAGTGGTCAAGCACAGGTGAGAAAATGTTTACAATTTTTTTTTCTTGTTTCAGCACAACATGTGTCAGTATGCATATTTTATAGCCAGAGAGGTGCTTTTCTGATTGAAGAAGCTTATTTAAGGGTTTTTAAAGTTCCCATCTTAACACACATACTACTTCCTGACAGGTATCATAACAGCTCTTGCAGTGGCGGTGGGACTCCTGGCAGTGGCGCTGTTGTTCAGTATAGGGGTGGCAGTCCACAGAAGGAGAGCTTACTACTCTAGAGAAGTTTAACACAGCTGCCCCCCCCCCCCCCCCCCCCAAAAAAAAAAAAGATGCATCCCTTAATAATCATGTACACTGTGTTTAAATGATCTCCCATATTTTAATTGTGATGTTCAGGAGCTTGTTTTCTTTTTATTTTATACATTGTGTTTGTAAGATTACAACAACACACTGCATGCCTGAATGTTCACTAAAGGATTTTAAACAATCTTTTCGGATGTAATTCAAAATAATTTCAAATTTTAGCAGCCATCAATAAACTTGATTTGATTCACTCTTCTGGACTCGTCTGTCCTTTGTGGGAGCATTCACTCTTCATTCACTGTTTGGTTCATGTCCTTTCACATTCTTCGTTGTTTGGCTCATTTGTTCTCCGGCTCTGTCACAACTGGGGAATAAAAAGAGATGTGAGCATTAGAAATTCTCCTCATTTCCAAACTTCTCCATTCCAGAGTTTTCTTCATTCTTACTTCTGACGTCCAGCTTGCACTCCACCTCGTCCTGACCCAGCTCGTTGACAGCCATGCAGGAGTATTTGCCCCCGTCGAAAGTACTTGGCTTCCGGATGTTGAGGGTCAGCACTCCCTGGTTGTTCTGCATCAAGAACTTGGGATCCTCACCGATTATCATTCTGTTCTTCATCCACACAATCTTAGGCTGAGATGAAGAAAAGAAAATGTTCTTTTATGAAGCAAAAATGCTTGATGTGAATGAAATTTTTTAAAAATATTTTTGCAATTGTTTTGTCTAAAATGGATTTTGTGCATGTTAAAGTGTTTAGATCTGTGCATGTGTTTATGTTTACATGAGTGTAATTTCAGCTCCAATGCATACTAATTGTTAAATATGAATGCGCAAATCACCTGTTATACACAGAAAAATTACTTTAACACACAGATCAGTTAACAAGTACATAAATAGTTTTGAGACTATTTTTAACCCAACAGATCTGTGCACACATCGTGCATTTACAGGGGAAACTCACAAAAATTAGAACACGGTGGAAAAGAAATTTTGTTTCAGTAATCCACCTTAGACTGAGAGACTATCTAAAGGCTCAGGAACCCTTTGCAGGAGTTCTGGATTCATCAGCTAATTAGAGTGTGACACTTTGAGTCTAGAATATTGAACTTTTTCACAATATTTTAATTGTTTGTGATTTTGATTGTGGGGCTTTCATAAGCTGTGAGCCATAATCATCACAATTATAACAAGAAAAAAAGCTTTGAACTATCTGGTTTTACATCTAATGAGTCTATCTTATATATTAGTTTCACCTTTTAAGTTGATGTACTGCAAACTAAATTTTGCACATTTTTTAAAAGTTTTTGAGTTTCACCTGTAGTTATTGCATTACCTGCTGTAGGTAGCTTCCTGAGATTGCAGTTAGTCTGAGAGCAGCTGAGACTAAAATGGAATTATGTGATTATTTACCAGAGTAAGTATCACCAGCATCAGGGAATTGGACCCCCCTCCGGTGAATCTAGAAGTCGAGTGCAGCAGGAATTTCTAAATTTTCCAGCTGAAATCATCTTTAAAACTGATGGAGGGTTAAGGAGTGATGAAATAACAAGCAGCTGAATTTTTTTGAAGATTAAAGCAGGTTGATGACAACAGTGGAGTTAGGAGTTGGCTCCGCTCTGACAAGACACTTTTAATGCACCAGTTTGAAATGAATCAGTATTCAATTCATAATAATGCTCCAAATCCAATAAATTTTATTGAATCTCAAATAAATAAAAGAAACGTGTTCAAAGGAAAACTAAACCAGACGAATAATAAAAATGTTTCTCAAGTTGACCAGATACTTCTTTGCACACACAAGAAACCGATTTTCTTTATTAAGGGCTCCTATACAGCCTGCTAGGCTGATTCAACGGTTGAATTAACTGTTCAGCAGGTCATCAAGACCTGCAGAAGTTAATCATCCACTGATAAAAACCAGGTGTGTTGAAGCAGAGAAACATCTAAAACGTGCAGGATAATGTCCCGCAAGGATCAGGGTTGGACAATTCTGCCAATTCTCCATAAAATGTCACAGCTGCTGATTATGAACAAGATATCATAAACCTTTAGGCAAGTTAAACAGCTGTTTATTGTTGTTGTTTGTTTAGCAGAAATGTTAAGAAATTCCCTACAGGACTTGACCCTGGACTCGCCAGAAAAGCTGCAGCATGCTGCTGCTGGTGATGTTTACTCTTGTAAAAATATATATAAAAATATATATGCCCTTCAAAAAGTTAAACTGACAAATGTAAAGGTTTGTGAAAGGATGTTGCATGAGCAGTTGGGATATTTGGAAAAATCAGGGATGCTGTAGGATGGTATTGAGCTTGGCTGTTCTCAGAGCTCAGGGATCTGTGAAACGGCTCAAAAATGGTCCTTTTGGGCCGATCCAGTTCAATGGAAACACATGCATGGCGCGAAGGTCAGATAACATTCCACAGAAGTTCCGAAAGTGGAAACGAGCCTATTGGGTATGACACTGATTTATTACTACTGTATAATAGAAGCATACTTAAAAATGGCCCCAAAACTAATGTATGAAACATTGTCTTTCCTCATCAGGTCTAGTGTTTGTTATTAAAGAGGTCCTTCACTGAGAAGCCATTTATTACTTATTTTTAAAAATGATCGGTCACTCTGATTTGAACATGCAGCCTGATGGTGAAAAAATTCTCCTACATCGATCTCCGGCATTAGCTTCTGAAAGAGAACAGCAGGTGAAACTCTAGGTTTTAAAAGGCCATGAAAAGTCACTTATCATTCATGGATTCAGCCTTCTTGAATGTGATGGGGAAGGCTGTTGGTTTAGCATCCAGGAAAAAGCAGAGAATGTCTCGGCTAGTAGAAGCTAACTGTTAGCATTAGTAACTTCATAACATGGCAGAACTCCTGCATGCTTGACTTCTTTATGGAGATGAAACATCAACATGGCAAAACAGAGTCAGTGGTAGAGTCAAGTTGCTGTTAGCCTATCTGTGGTGAAATGTCCAAATATCAGGAAATAAAACTCCAAATCTTGTCGCCTGAAGCTTATTTCTCCTCTGGCTGAGTTCTCTGTGCTGCAACAGGCACACTAAAGTTGTTTTCCCCAGAGTACAAATGACAAAGCATTCCTAGACCAATGCAAATGTATTAAATTATGAGGGAAGGACCTCTTTAAAAACACTTTACTGTTGCTAAGTATGGGTAGAGGTTTCCTCCTCTTTCAGTAAACCCCACACTCACTCCTCAGCTTATTTTGTCTTGTACGGTACCTTTGGAAAGCCTCTGACGGAACAGCTGATTGCGGCGCTGTAACCAGCTACGACGGATTTGTCCACCAGAGGCTGAGTAAACTTGGGTGCACACGCCATGTCTTTCTCCTTGTAAGGGTTTGGTTTGTAGTCCAAACCTATGAAAGGGAAACACCTTATGAACTTCAAGTCTTGGCTAATGTGGTAATCTAAACCCACACACATGCACCGTCACACCTGTCTTGGCGATGAGTGCCGTGTTCTTGCTTAAGCGTGGCTCCTCGCTCAGGCCACACAGGTTTTCACTGTAGACTTGGAAAATGTACTCATTACCCATGATCAGATCTGACGCTGTGCAGTTTGTCCGTCTGTTGTGTTCATAAATGGTGAACCACTCCTGGAAAGGTTTGATACCATGAGGTTAGAGTAGATCCGGGATCCGTCTTAACCACTTTTATTTCGCCCAGTGTTACCTTGGTTTTCATATCAGCTTTCTGGATGGTGTATCCAGTGATCTCACTGTTGCCGTCATCTTTAGGGGGGTCCCACTCCAGAGCTGCGTTGAAGCCCCAGACATCTGTCACTCTCACGTTCTGGGGAGGTCCAGGCCTCTCTGCATGGATCAAACAACTTTTAAACTCTGTCTGATTAAAATTTAACACTGTTTGGACTACTTTTTGTTAAAGTTTAATTCATTAGGACAAGTCTCTCATTGAGCTGTGAAAGTTGGTAAAAAATGAGTTTCCAAACTGCCTTGAAGCATTTGCAAGGGTTCTGACTTTTCTTGCATAAGAAACTTGATGAGTACCACTTTACACAAGGCTCACTTTATAAATGTCTAATAAATCATTTATAGATATGTCATCAATTATTCTGTAAACATCTGATATATAACCAATATGTGTTCATTATTATGCATTAATTAACAGATAATTTTTTTTGCCAAATCTTTCAAAAATGTGAGACAAATCTCTTCTCCCCATAGTTGCCAACAGTTTCAGTCCGGTGAGGAAACGTAGACGTCAAGGTTGCTGAGAGAAAAATGTCATTAGGAATTTGTGAGTTTTACCAATAACTCTGATGACAATGGAGGCTTTGTCCTCCATGTTCTCAATCTTTAGAGTCAGCTCGTATGTTCCGGAGTGATCTCTTTCTGCTGAACGGATGAAGAGAATGGTGTCGACGTTTGTGCTACGAACGTTCACCATCTTGGGGTCGAGTGGTTTACCGTCCTTCAGCCAAGTTGCAACAGGGTGTGGTTTACCCTACGACACAAAACATCACTCGTCAGAGGTAAATAGCTCCAGTTCCTAATTCAAAACTAGTTTTTATGCCTTTAGCTTTGATGAACTAAAAAGAATGTTCCTAACCTGGAAAGGGATGGTCAGATTTATCTTGTCTCCAACTTTCCTGATGTACTTTGTTCTCAGATCGCGGGGAAGGCGGATCTTTGGGTGTTCTAAAGCAAAAACAGACATCTAATAAAAACACAAGACACGACGCAAGAATGCATTTCTGATAAAGAAACAAAAGAAGACTTAAACCATGAAACTCCCAATCAAGGTAAGCCTTTTTTCTTTGTGGAAACCCAAAGTCCTTTGACTCACCAACAATCTCACGGATGGTAACAGGCTGTGACAGTATGGCGGGCAGACTGCGTCCAGCAATGTTTACTGCCACCACCCTGAAGTTGATCTTCTCCCCTACAGGAAGGCCACGCACCACAAATCCCTGCTTCTCACACAGATCCTTGTTTGCAGCTACCCACTCAGTGTCTGACACACACACACACACACACACACACACACACACACACACACACACACACACACACACACACACACACACACACACACACACACACACACACACACACACACACAGAGATTCTTGTAGTAAACCAGTGAGTGGGATTCTAATCTTTTCTACTTTACAATGTGATGTCAGTACCTCCCTCCTTGCAATACTCAATAATGTAGCCATCCAGGCCTCCCGCTCCAATCTTCTCCGGGGCGAGCCACCTCAAACTGCATGTGCTATCTGTCACATCGTGCACTGTCAGGCGCGTTGGCTCACTAGTCGGGGCTGAAGTTGGACAAAGACATACCTGAGAGAATAACTCACTGGTCTGGCTCAAGAAGGGTGAGAAACAAAAGACAGGCTTGGAAATTTAAAGAAAGGAGTGTGAAGCTTTACCGATTGGCATGAAGGGTTTGGAGTTAAGACTCGGCTGAGACAAGCCAATGCTGTTAACGGCAAACACCCTCATCTCATACAGGATTCCTTCAATCATCCTCTTGGCCTCGTATGTAGTGGATTCGTAAACGTCGAAGTTGAGTTTTGTCCATCTGGAGGAGCCTTTCTTCTTTCTTTCCATTAGATAACCTGATGGAGGAAAAGCAATGTCTCACTGTAAGGAATCAGAAATGTTGCTCTTGAGATTTTCATAGTAGACCCTTTTTGTACTGGACTCTGACGTTCATCAGTTACCTTTGATTGGTGCACCACCATCAAATTTAGGAGGTTCCCAAACAATGGTGGCACAGTCCTCTCCCACTCCTGTGCACTTGACATTCTCAGGGGGGTCGGGAACATCTAAACCAAGACAACAGTGTGATCAAAACAGAACAAGTTCATTTAACACCAGTTGGTATTTAAATGTAAACTTTTCCTTACCCACAATTTTGACAAACAGCATAGCCTTGTCCTCTCCAGCAGGATTGGTAACGCAGATCGTGTAGTTGCCCTCATCGCCTCTCTCTGCACCTTCAATGACAAAGCAGCTCAGGTCTTTCCTGGCCTCTACCCTCACACGCCCTTCAGTGTCTGTGATTGGCTAAAAAATAAAATAGGGAATCATGGTAGAGGTCAGAGGCCTTTCCAGTTTAATCAAAATACCAAATCCAAATGTTATATTTAAAACTTGAAGTGCAGTAGGGCTTTTTTGTCAGGCCCTTACTTGCTCGCCCCTAGACCAAACACACGTGGGAGCCGGCTCTCCTGTGATCTCCACATCCAGACGAAGCTTGTTCCCTGCTACAACTATAATGGTGTTTTGGGAGACCATGTTTCCAGTAGTGTCCAGGTGGATCTTCGGAGGATCTAATTGAAATTGTATAAAAACAATGATGCTCAGAACAAGAGTCGGCAATTTTAAAATAATTTTGGTTTGATACGGCCTAACGTTGAGAAACATACCTTGTCTGGGTACATAGTCAATCTTAATTTCTGCATCAAGAGAAGACAAATAATATAATTACCATCACAGTTGAATGAAAAATTTGCAGATATAAAAGTTTTTGTTCTTGCGCACCCAAAAAGTTCAGTTTGGCTGAAAGCGACAGAGCGTATCCATCAGGAACAAAAGTGTAATCTCCAGCATCTTCTGGCTTCACGTCATCGATAATCAACCGGTGGAACCTAAAACAAGCAGTAAATACAAGTTAAAAAAAAAATCATTACATGTGACCTAGAAACAAATGTGTCAAACTTTTCCTCACCTTCCAACGTGAGTCATTTTTATGCGTTCGCTTGCTAGGACCTCCACTCCATCCTTGAACCACTTCCCCGTGACTTTTTCATCAGACACTTCACACTTGAACACTGCCTGATCTGTTGCTTTGACTGTCAGATCAGCTATGTCCTGCAACACCTCCAGCTCCTTTTCTGAATGAACCAGAGCAAATAGCATGAGAGCATGTCAGCTTGGAAAAGGATGGTAGCATCCCGACACACGCTGTCACTGCACTATACGTTCAGTGCTGAATGTTTAACTGATAGAAGTGGTCTTACATTTGAATGTTTTATTTATTTATTTTTTTAACTTTTATTCAGAAACACAATAAGTGAGATTTGAATATGTTCCCCTATGGTACCTTCCACTTCCAGTTCTCCTTTAGTATGCCCTCCATTCGTCCAAGCGTGGTACATTCCAGCATCATCCAGTGTTGCCTCCAGGATGACAAATGTGTGCTTTTTCCCATCCTTTTTGAAGCGATACTTTGTGGAATCCTTGTCTTTTTGAATCTCTTGATCTTCATAGGCCCTTTAAATAGACAATTTAAAAACAATAAAGAGGTTTTGAATTTACAGGTGAGAAATGATACAACGTATAAACTAGGTCTGGACAGACTATATGAAAACATATTTATTGCTGTTGAAAAACAGAATCTTGCTTTGGGTTTGTGACTCTTTTAATTAAAGTTACATTATGTATGAATTAAGTAAGAACTTCTGGGTCGCTCCTATTACTTTATTGGGATATTTGCAAAATTCAAAACTACAAATTCCGGCGCTGCAGCACTTACTTGCTGCAGATTCGATAACTATGCTTGCTGACAGATTGGAAACAGTTACTACGTCCTACTTTGGTCATTTGAAAGGACGAAAACTGTCAACCTCCAGTCGACTGAGAAGGAAATCTGTTTTAGTGTAAATTTCCTTCAAACATGATTGAGGCATTATACGGTGTGGATTAGTCATTTAATCAATACTTTTTCAGTGGTCTCTAGTAGAAATGAATGCCTTGCAGGCACAAACAAGCCCATAGACCCCTGGCCCAGCATCAGTGCTGTGTTTCAAACGGGAGGATTTGGAGTGTTTTTTCCTGGTATTTGGACATCTTGTCTCAGATTGTTTAAAAGCAACACAACTCTACCACTGACAGTTTTCTCGGGGACATGAATGTTTTACCTCTACAAATAAGCCTGGAGGAGCTTCAGCCACGAGTCTGAGTTGCTAATGCTAGCAGTTAGCTTCTGTTGAAAGAGATGTTCTCTGCCAATTCTGGAACCTAAAGCATGACCCTGTCATGAGTCAAAATGGGTAAGTCCAATTCACAGTGTGATATAAAGCAGTCAGGCTTTTCAAATCCTACAGTTTCACTGTCTGTTTTCTATCAGAAGCTAATGAAGGAGAAGAGATAGGTAGGAGACTATTTTCATGTTCAGCCTGCATGACAAACTCAAGAGTAACTGATTATAATCAGAAAAAATCATTAAAAAATGTATTTTCACCTTTAAATTCCTACATGTTGTATCTTTTTCACACGCAATCTACCTTGTGGTGGTTTACAGGCATTGCAACTGAATTTACCAGTAACACAATACATTTGTTTATTTGTTTGTTTATTGTTTTATTTTATAGGCAGTAGTAAAGGATTTGTATTTTTTCCCAGAACAAGCTGAGTTTGTTTGTTTAATTTGTAAAAATACATTTAATCATGCTTTAAAATCCATTTAAATCATTGGGCTGCACATCTTCTGGAAAGTGTTCACTAACCACACCACATGAGCGCCCTCCTCAGACACCTCAATCTCAAACTCCACTCTTTCTCCCACAACCACGTGGTAGTCGTCCATCAGTTTGGTGATTGTCACAGGAGGCTCTAAATAGAAAATCAGGAGAGGTGAAACTTTGAATATACCAGAAGCACAGAAAGTTTTCTCTGCAATTTAAAGTTAATGGACATGTAATTCGGTAAAAAAAATAAAAGGTATTTCACACCTTTGACGTAGACTTCTGTGGAGCACTTATCCTCACCAACCACGCACTCATATGCAGCATCATCAGCCAGGTTGGTCTTATTGATGGTGAGCGTTCTGATGTTCCCATTCGCCTCCATGACATACCTTGTAATAAAGAGTCAGCTTAAATTGTAGACTATTTTTTAAAATTATTTTGCATCATTTTTATCTCATGATTTCCCTAAAACCACTCTACACATCTATCTTTAATCATCTAATGTTTAATTTCTGGGTTTCATCAGATATTCTGTTTATGTGTTTGAGTGTTTCCATCCTAGAAAACTTTAAATGTGGAAGTTTTAGTCCTGAGGGGCAGCCATTTGCATGGAGCAAAAGCACTCTCGCCTCCTGGGAAGCTGCTTATGACCACCTAAAAATAAAACCTGCAGTGGTGGAGTCTTCTCCAAGTATGACCTTGTGGCAAAGATAAAATTAGCTCAATATATTTAACCCTCTGGAGGCAGGCGTTAAAACCTACCTACCTGGTTACTCCACATACGTATTTCATGAGCATTTTTTAACTCAGAAGTACCCCTGAAGGACTTAGTTGTTCGTCATTTAGAGCCTGAGAGGGTTAAAGCACTCCATATCAAGCCCATATATGTTAGATTGTAATAGAATTTATACTTATTAAAAAATAATATATGTGAATATAAACTAGTGATATCTGATGAGCAGTGATGTCAGGAATGTACTTGGCTGAAGGTTTGATCTCCTGGCCGTTCTTCAACCATTTGACCTGGACATTAGGATCAACCACCTCACAAGAAAGCACTATTTTCTTCCCCTTCTCCACCGTGTAGCAGGATTCAAGCCTCTTCAGGAAGGCTGGAAGAGAATTACCACACATGTTCATAAACATTTTGGATTTAGCCCACTTCTCCCTCCCGATGCATTTCTGTCACATCTCATAGCCCTCCACATCTCTCCCTCCCCTCCACAGTGGTGACCTGACTTACCCTCACTATGCTTGGGCTCCTCTTTCATCTTCTTTAGACGTTTCAGCATGCCCCTCAGGTCAGTGATGCCATACTTAAAGGCGATTTTCTCATACTCGCTTGGGTGGGCACTTTTAAGTAATTCCCAAACATCTATCTCTGGTTCCTCTTTTTCAGGTTTCTTCTTCCTGTCAGTCATGAAAAAATGGGACAGATGTGGTGGAAGAAGAAAAAAAATGGATGTATATAATAGAAAGCAAGCATTATGCTTGTGTGGTTTTGACTGAATACAAAATAAATGTCATATTTTTACTTTTTTGTGGCTTTCAGCAGAGCACTAAAGTCCAGATCTCCTTCATCCTCTCCAGCATCTCTGCATGTAGGGAAGCACACAAAACTACCAGTGAACCTCCAATACAACAAAAATGGTCTAAGAGTTGTTCTTCTGCACTAGAAACAGTTAAGCGTCTGATGCATTCCCTCAGAAACCCCAAAGCACTCACGCTCTCTTGAAAGCAGACAAAATGTCTGCTTGATCGTCCTGATGCGCAGCTGTAACGGGAGAAGTTGCACACAACACACATTAATGTGAGATCAGGTCAAAACATCAGTCGCGGCCTCAGCGGGCCGGAATCCATTTTCACTCACCTTCCACCGAGATCTCGAAGGTGGAGCTGTCACAGACATCTTTGGCTGACACCTCGCACCTGTAGCCCCCAGCATCTCCGGGGACCACTTTGATGATCTTCATCTCATAAGTATAGATCTTGGCGAGAAGACAACGCTCAATTACATGCTTGGTTATTTCTGAGAAAGCAGGATCAGCTCACCCAGAGACACGCACCTTAGTATTTCTGTCATAAGTTTCTTTGAACTGCAAGTGTTTTCCAGCCTTGCTGGCAAGGTCCAGCCACTTGCCCTTCAGCCATTTCATGGTAGGTTTTCTCGTCAGGGTGCTCGAGTCTACCTTCGCTACAAAAGTCATATCCGATCCTGCCATTTGCAAAGAACAGCAATCAATTGTGACATTTTGTAAATTGCAGAAAGCCCATTTCCTGATGTCTAAAAAATTATTTATCCATCTGAGTCTGACCTGCAACAGCGGTTATATTACTCGGCGGCTTCTCCACAAACATTCCAGTGAGCTGGGTGGACCCAGGCTCTGAAACAAAACACAAATAATAAAGTTAGCTCAATTGGCAAATTAGGTCTGTGGCTTCCATTACACACAAGTGCTGCAAATGGGCCCAGTGCTTCAACAATAGCCAAACTATGTAACAAATCAAACACCAACAGACTCAAACTCACAGGTGTAAAAAATCTCGCCTGAATACCAACAAACCAGCTTTATAACAGTTAGAACAAATATGTTATACTTGATTAACAGATGTGTTCAACATTGCCTAGCGAAGAAAACTGGCTTTAGCTCCTGCTCAGTTCATGACAATTTCACTTTTAAGATTGACAGATACATTAAAACGCTTAAAATTATAATTATTTAAAGTTGAACAAATACGTTTATAACATTGTAATACAATTTATTGCTAAACATTAAAATAATAATGGTTAAATTGACCTTGCCACTAGTAGTACTAATATATTCCAACAGATATCAGATGACCTATTCAGGATTTGATAGAGGAAGTTATTGACAAAATAACTAATCCTGTTTTTGTGGTAGCGGTCTTAGGAATAACCATGAAAATATGATACCATTACATTTGTTTGGCTAAGGAAGCTGACACCATATAAATGGTAATATGTGACTTTGTTTTATTTTAAAGACCATTTTTAGATGCGTGTACATGGATGCCTTGTGAGTCGATCTATTTGGGAAAAAAGCTCTGGCACTCCCGTTTCAGGAAGCAGAAGACGGCAGGATTTCGAGTCTTATATTCGATATTCGACATCTCACCTCCAATTAGCCAACAGCTATGTGACTTTACCACTGGCTGTTTGCTTTGCAATGCAAATGTTTTATCTCTACAAATAACACAAACCTGGAGGAGTTCTGCCATGTTGTGGAGTTGCTAACGCTAGCGGTAAGCTTCTACTAGCCAAGCCATGCTCTGCTATTTCTTGGAAGCTAAATCAACAACGGTCTTCCCCCTCATGAGCCAAGATGGGTGAGTTAATTTTCAAAGTGACGTGGAACTGATCGGCTTTTCTAATCTGGGTTTTCCCGTCGATTTTCAATCAGCAGCTAAAGCAGGAATTATTGGTAGAATATAGCTTTCATGTATCGTCTGCATGTTAAACTCAGAGTGAACAAGCGTATTACAAAAATAAAAAGTGAAAGACTGTTTTTCTGTGAACTTGCCTTTTAAAGAATAATGGGATTCAAAAATTCAGGCAAGCTGCCTTCCAGACTTGACCAAAGGCTGAAGTGAAGTTCTTAATGAAGATTTTTCAATATTTAATGAACTTTGTGCAAACTATAACATGTCTTTAACTGACGACCTTCTCACGTGTGGTTTTACCAACATTTGGACAAGTCTTTAATGTTTGTGCACTTAAGAGTTGGGATTTAAATCTATCCTGTGCCTTTATTGCATCACAGTGACAGTCCAAATTATAAATTACACCACATATTTGTCAAACACGTACAATGCATCCTTTTGTGTTCCATCACATTGTCATGCAGCTGACAGTTTGTTGACTGTAACATAATTCATTTGTACACCCACACGGCTAAAAACAGACACCCCCGTTTAAACAAATGGTTGTACACCCATCTGAAGCTATACTGCACCATAAGTCTCCACGAACTCATTCATTTAAAAAAGCTCTTGCTTGAAATTAGACCGAATTGTTAATTCGTGACAGGAAATCGACATATTTCCAAGTCTAAAATCAAGCAACAATTGATTGATTAAATATAAACTTGAAACAAAAAGAATGCAAATTTGTAATTGATTGATTATTTATTTGTTTTGACAATGCTTCTCAGCAATAGATTATATACAGTTGATGAGCCTGATTAGTCACCCTCAGAAATAACAAAAAGGTATGTTTTGTAAGGATCATGCATCCGTAGCATAAGCAGAACCGCCAAATGTGTCGGTTTGCAATAGTCTCCGGTTGCGTTTCACTCTTGTTTTTTGTTTCGAGTGCTCCCAGGTATGTCCCAGTCATGGATGACTGCCTGATGACAGGTCTAGGACAGCTTGGACATGCCTACAGTGATAGCGTGGCGGAAACCACTACTTGCACATGTAGCTGTTTTGTTCTTTCCACAGAGCTAACAAGTTATACCTCGTGTAAAGCTAACTAATCCGTCTTTCCAATTATAACAAAACAATTGCCGAGATGCACTGTTGCATTAAACAAATGATCAACCAAACAGAAATGTCCTCATTTCTTTGTAAGATTATTACATCAACACAGCACACAGTCAAAAGAAAACCAATGTATTCATGATGGTATAATCATGACTTTCTATTAAATACACAAGAAGTAATCAGACATGATTACTGGTAGTTTAATCCTCAAACATTAGATAAATTATTTGAAATGACTTTGAACTCTTCCATTGGACTGATCCAAAAGGCTGCTAAACTCCACTCAATGCTCACTTCGCACAAGCAGAACTCACAATTCAATTCATTTCAATTTAATTTGTCTTTGAAGAAAATTACTATACTCATTTTTTGCATTAAGAAACATATAAGTGTAATTCATATAATGCACCCTAAAGGATTTGTTATTTCTAAAAGATTGACAGTTACTTCAGTAGCACTCACACACGCCTAACCAGCTGGCCATGTGATATTAATCCTGTACACTCTACACCCTTGTGTGCATGGCTGAAACAGGCTTGGAAGGAACAGCCTTACACACACACACACAAGTACTACTTGTAATGAATATGCCATAGGCGGTCTCGGTGTAATTCAACACCCCCATTGGAGACGGGACAGATGATCAAACAAATCATAAATATCAAAAAAGAAGCTAAAAGTAACAGTTACACGTCATGAAGGAGACTTATCCTCTAGCAGAGTTTCCAGACACATAATTTTAGATTTTGTTTGGGTGAAGTGGTCACAAATAACGTCTTGTTTCTGGGCCCAAGTACGGAAGCTGTGAAAGGCTTTTTTTCTTCTTTTCTGTGTAACCGCTTAAGAATCTGTGAGTGTGTGTGTTTTCATTGTTTTTAGAGTATCTGATGTTGTCCTTGCAATATGTTACTATACAGTTGTCCCTGTAGGGAGCCTAAGTCACGCCCATCTACTTCAAGTCAATAGCGTTAAAAACTCAAAAACTCTATTTTCTAATCCCGTTTTTTATATGTCATAGATTTCACATATGATGTCTATGAATTTTAAAGCTGCATTTTGATGCCAAGAAAGCGCTTATTTTCAAATGGAAGTCAAAAGTTATTTTAGAATTTGTATCAAAATATGTCCAGGACTACAAATGCGCATCACAAAATTGATGTCATCAAAGCAGTCATGGAGAATGGCAGAGGGCAAAATGGCTGTCAGTTTGGCAAAACACGAATCCTTCTTTCAAGGGCAAAGAACCACCATAAATCTGATCATGTGGTAAGTAGCAGCTACGCTAGAGGAGAGGAGATTCTGTGGTGACGTCATATATGAATATAATGCCTTTATTGTCATTGAATACAGCAAAATTTAAAAGAAGTGCCATCTTCTATGGTGCATAAAAGTGATAAAAACAATAACCAAATAAGGATGCATTATTGCACGACACATGACATTACACAGTTTAGAAGGATAATGAAGAAAGTCATATCTATACTGTATTTAATGCACGCATTGCTTTTGCGTAGAAATAGTTTTTCAGTCTGTTTGACCGTTCTTTTAATGACCTAACATTTCTCCCGGAGGTCAACAGGTCAAAGTATAAGTGACCCAGATGAGATGAGTCCCTCACAATGTTGTTAGCCCTCCTGAGGCAGCGGGCACTGTACAGGTCTTCCAGGGAGAGAGAGCAACCGATGATTTTTTGGGGTTGTGTCGTCCACTGGAGCGCTTTCCTGTTTGCTGCTGCGCAACTGGCAAACCACACACACAGACACCAGCTATTTCTGAGTAAGTTTGCTGTCAGGAAGTATAGTCTGTGCTGTGCCTTCTTAATGATGGTTGTGGTGTCAATACTTCAGGTTAGGTTTTCCTCTATGTGAACGCCCAAAAACCGGAAATCTGTCACCCTCTCCCCCGTTTCCCTCAGATGAACAGGGGGCTGAGTGTCTGTCTTGCCTTTCCTTCTGAAATCTTTAACCAGCTCCTTGGTCTTGGAGGACTTCAGGACCAGGTTATTATCAGAGCACCACACTGACAGTTACTCCACCTCATCCCGGTAAGCAGACTCATCCTCCTCAGAGATGAGCCCCACCACAGTGGTGTCATCAGCGAACCTGATGACAACATTGCTGGAGTGTGCTGGAGTACAATCGTACATATAGAGGGGATAAAGAAGCGGACTCAGCACACAACCCTGGGGAGAGCCGACATTCAGGCCAAGGGCAGTGGAGGTGTGGGTGCCTATCCTCACCCTCTGTGGGCGGTTAGAGAGGAAGTCTTCAATCCAAAGACAAATGGAATCAGATATTCCCAGGTTTGACAGTTTAGTCACCAGTCTGTTGGGGAGGATGGATTGAACGCCAAACTGAAGTCCACAAAGAGCAAACATGTATAGCTCTCCTGCTGCTCCAGGTGGGACAAAGTAACATGGAGGGCTTTGGCAATGGTGTCCTCCGTGGACCTATTGGTTCTATAGGCAAACTGATGTGTGTCAAACCTGGGTGAAAGAGTTGAAGTTATTTGTATCTGGATCGATTTCTCAAAGCACTTCATGATAATAGGAGTCAGTGCCACTGGACGGTAGTCATTTAGGCTGCCTATGATGAGCTTTAAAGGGAGTGGAACAATGGTGGATGACTTGAGGCAGGGAGGGATAGCAGCTTGAGACAGTGGCTGGTTGAAGATGATGGTAAAAATCCCGGCCAGTGCCGCTGCAGTCTTCGATTCCACAGCCCTCAGCATGCGTCTCACTTCATGCTCCTTTTCTGTGAAGATGTGACTGCTGTGGGATGACAGGTGTGGTGCAACCGTGTCCTGTGAAACAGCCTCAAATCGGGCAAAAGAGCAGTTCAGCTCCTCTGCCAGTGAGGTGTCCCTGTCTTCAGCTGAGGTA